ATATATATGCATAACGCAATAAAGACAAAAAGGATAGCAGAAACGAGAGATTAACGAAGAAAATGAAGAAAAAAAATAATAAGTTTTATTTAGAACTTTTTTTTTTGGATATAATTGTGTGATCTGATGAAGAGATTATATTTTATCCTTATTTTATTTTCCGGATTTTGATATTTTTCTTAAAATTTAATAGTTTAAAAAAAAATTTAAATAATTTTTTAATAACTTTTTTTCTTTTCCTTTAAAAAATATTTATATTTTTTCCATGCTTTCTCTATATTAACTTTTATATATCTACAAGTATATATATGCGAAACTGACAAATTTTATATATCTACAAGTATAAATTTACTTCAGGAACAAGGTTTACGAATGTTAAAGACACCAAGAACTAAAGCAAGAAACAACATGAATGGAGAATAAATAAAATCACAGAAATCGACGTACTATAGTTTCGGTTCTATAAACAAGAATCTACTTCAAAGTCTGAACATCAAATAATAATCGAAATATGAAGAGAGAAACTCGTGTAAATGGGTTTCGCTAACGAGGACAGAGGAACAGTGCTAAAATAGGAAAATAAAATAGGGGAGATTAGAAAAAGGTGTAAGGGGGTCCGTTGTTTGCAAAAAAAATTAAATCAAAAAATATTTCCAATCATTGGGAAAAGTGAGATAATAGACAGATCAATAACTAAATTATTGTAATTTTTTAAATAAAATATGAAAGCTGTCTTTGAAAAATTTTACAGCCGATTAAAGAAGCGAGTCTAATCAAATGGAGATTGTTTTCAAGCATCTTAAATAGTCACACAATTCACATACTATTTTAAGGATTTATTAGACAGATTCTGGAAATTAACAGCATCATCTTTTGTTATCGAAGTAATTTGTTTTCGCTTTATTAAATTAAACAAAAAAATAAAAACATTTTCAGGATTTTTCTAGTTGTTTTGCTACTTGTTTGCGCAAGTGGTACAATACTGGATTTAAAGGACAGAAAAAGGAAAGAAAATAAGCTGAAATATCCAGAAAGTAAGTTATTACTTTTGTGTATTTCATTAAAAGTTTATAACCACGGATATTCACAATTCGTGGTCAACTAGAAAATATGTAAGAATTTAAGAATCTGATAGTAAAAACTACAGACGAATTTTTTGATGATAAATATGTTCAATTCGAAAAAAGCGAATAGGAATAAAAGGCCGAAAAAATTAAAAAAAAAACTTTTTTTTATATTTTAAGCAGTTTAAGTTGATTTTAACATTAGATAACTAAATATTTTTTCCAATGCCTAATCAGTCGTTATATCANTTCGAAAAAAGCGAATAGGAATAAAAGGCCGAAAAAATTAAAAAAAAACTTTTTTTTATATTTTAAGCAGTTTAAGTTGATTTTAACATTAGATAACTAAATATTTTTTCCAATACCTAATCAGTCATTATATCATATAAAGATATCAATAGGGCAGACTTGTTGGCCACTCTTTCAGGGGCCCCATATTAGGTGGCCAACGTTGCTCCCTCTGTGAGGGCAGAGAATGAGGAATATCCAATGCCTTGTCCGGCATTCGAACTCAGGACTTTTCTGGTGTGAGGTCAAGACCCTGACTACGACACAGTTCGGTCGGTGCATAACTAAACATTCATCCAGCAGAATCTCACCATTCACAAAGTCGGACTGTTACCGTACCACTTTTTTAGAACATCTAATGGTTAAAAAAATATGTCTAAAAAGAGGCTCATTGAAATGAAGGATGACATAAGAACCCTTTTAACCATGGTTGAAGTATCAAACTGTATTTATAGCTTTACCATCAAAGCCAATACGAGGGTTGCTATTTATATTTCTGGCTTTGGCAACAGTAAGTGTTGCTAGGCGACCGCAGACGATTTTAATTGAAAGTTTGATATTTTTAAACATAAATTCAGCAGACGATTTACCATTATAGNTCACAATTCGTGGTCAACTAGAAAATATGTAAGAATTTAAGAATCTGATAGTAAAAACTACAGACGGAATTTTTTGATGATAAATATGTAAAAACATGTTCAATTCGAAAAAAGCAAATAAAATAAAAGGTTGAAAAAGTCTTAAAAAAATTTTAGTTTATATTTTAAGTAGTTTAAGTTGATTTTAACATCAGATCATAATATTTTTTCTTTCAATGTCCTCCCGATTGACACTCGCCATTTAGATACCTGTAAGGCAGATTTGTTGACCACTCTTTCAGGGGTACTATATTAGGTGTGCCAACTTTTCTCCCACTGTAAGGACAGAGAAGGAAAGAACATTCAATGCCGTGTCCGGAATTCAAACTAAGGACTTTTCTGATGTGAGATCCACTCTTTGACCACAAAACAGTCCGGTCGGTGCATAAGTAAACATTCATCCAACAGAATCTTACCATTCGTCAGTTTAGCAAATTCGATATGTTACCGTACCTCTTTTTTAGGACATTTAAATGTTTAAAGAATATATCCAAAGGAAGCTCATTGTAATGGAGGGGACAAAATCATCATTTTAACCACATTTCAACATTAAGAACTGTATTTATAGCTTTACCATCACAGCCAATAGAAACAACCCAGAAAGCATGTGACGTTACTGCAACCTTGTGTCGGAATTTTCTTTTTACTGTCACGGAAATGTTCGTACTAAAAACCTTCTTTTCAATAAAGCAAAAATATTGCAGTTTCAAACCTTTCATCCTAAAAGAATTAAAAATTATTTTTTAAATAGTACTGTCACTAAAGGTCCGTCATGACGTTCTAGCTGACGTCACACTAGCGATAGGATCAAATTGCATTGTCCATTAAAATTTCAAGACAAGGTGGATTTCAGCTGAGAATACAAGACTTAACGAAAAGAAACCTTATAATTACCTAGATTTAAGATTATTTTCACCTTGAGACTAGCTTTATTAATGGTTTTTTTTTTCACTCTTGAAAACACTAAGTCAACCTCGATTTAAGGTTTTTATGTGGAAGGATGTTTTCCAAGATGTTGGATTTGGGTAATGTGCGTAGAATAAAGCATATTGTCACAAATCTCGTTTTAAGGTTAGAAGGTTTACACGTAAACCGCATAACAAACAGTTTTAGGATTACATTAAAAGGTTTTTGCTGAGTTAAAATGGACCTTATTTTGATATCTGGGCAATCGCTTCCCGTCAAATTGATTTATTTTTCAAATATTGATACATTTTTTCAATTATATTGGATTCATAACTATTTTACGAGTGTCTCGCGTGTGGTAGATATATTTTACCCAGTTCTTAAATTATGTGCTCTGTCTATGTTGTCCTTTCATGCATTTTTAAACAAAATTTTCTTGAAATAAGAACTGCGTTTTTCTCCTATCGAAATATATTCCTTACACGTTGACGCCGTTGTGTTTATTTTGAAGTATATGTTTAATTACTAAGTTTGCGTTTTCTACGCTAAATAGTTCACGCAAAGACGCAATGACAGTTGTTTCCCTGTTTGAAATTCTTTCTTTCACTTATTACAGCATTAGCAAGAAGCAACAGGCATCACCTGTTTTTTAATGTTTTAATGTAAAATTACTTTTTAAGATACACTTTTATAACTGAATAGGCAAATAAAATCGGTATTTCTACGTGTGTTTAATATTTTAAGCATTTTACGCCCTTCTGTTTTTAAATCTTTCTGTTTCTCTTAAGCAAGTTCAGTATTTCTAGTAGGTTGTTGGTCATGCAAAAAATTTTAGATCTGTAGCAGTTTTTATTTTTATTTTTAAACTTACAATCAGTGTTTACAGCACAAATACGGATACTTTGGTTTTCACGAAATCAAGAGAAAATGATTGTGCGCTTACATGTTTAGCTTCAAACAGCTTTGATTTAGCATCAGCCATGAATCCTTAACTTATTTTCTTAAAGCTATACTTTTGGCAATAAAATCAAATTGTAATAGGTGTATGATAGTTTCCATTAACTGTACTATTCAAATATAAGGAGATCAGTATACATTGATTCGAAGAAGTGTACAACTGAACTAAGAACGAGGAAAAGCTGCTTTAAGAGAAAAAGCTAAGAACGTCAATTTTTGCTTATTTCAAAAAACTTAAGAGCTTATGCGTGACCTTTTTTTATCCAATGCAGGCATATGAAGGGCAAATTTGTTGGCCACTCTTTCAGGGGCACCCTATTAGATGGGCCAACGTTGCTCCCACAGTAAGGACAGAGAGAAGGAAAATGCCTTGCGAACCTTTCTGATGCAAAGGCAGTTCCCCAACACCTACACAGTCCGGCCGGCTTATACGTGACCTAAAAATTTTAAAAAATAACTATTATTTTGTCATATTAAAAGANCACCCAATGACTACTTCTTATTCCCACACATCAAAAATAAATTACGTGGACAACGATTTTCGACCCCCGAAGAAGCGGTTGATGCATTCAAAACGCATGTTTTGGAGTTACCTCAATCGGACTGGAAAAAGTGCTTTGAAAATTGGTTCAAACGCATGCAAAAGTGCATTGATCATCATGGAGAATATTTTGAAAAACAGTAAAACCAATTTCGATCCTACATATTTGTTTTTTCATTATTAGGCCAGAAATATAAATAGCAACCCTCGTAGCATGTAAATGCTTTACGTCAATTTTTTTTTTCTTCAAATGCTGATAATTTTTTTCAGCTGTTTTTGAACGAATGTTGATTGTCATAGATATATTTTAACGGGGTCGACCCTCAAATTATAGAATGTAGCCGCAGTTTGAGAAATATAGTCTCAATATTTTGGTCTGGAGAGTGCTCCAAAGTTTGGACCCCTTATATATCTCTAGAACATTTTAGGTGAATTGATAAATATTTGCACCCAGTTATAAAATTCTTTTATCCAATAATAATTCCATGCAAAGAAAAATAGCTTTTAGTATTACTTTTTTATCATTTTATTTAATAATACTATTTATTTAATAATAATTACTGCTCCATTTAATAAAAATTTTTGAATAGGAAATAAGGAATTTGAATTTCATTTTAAAGAATGTCATTTTGCGTGGCAAAATGCTAAATTTGAGCAAAATCAGTTCAAAAGTTTCTGAAAATTTAATTATCATGAAATAAAAAAGTCAGATGTTTAAAATTCGATTTCTCAGGAACTATTCGACCAATTTTGCTCAAATTTGGTAATTTTCATTGTAAAATTATGTTCTTTAAATCGATACAAAAAACTGCATACTTTACAATTCCAAATTTTTAGACCATTATTAAATATAATTATAAAACATAATCAACATTTACTAAAAACTATTTTTTGCTTAATGATTATCTTTCAACAAATTAATTTTATAATTGTGTGCAAAAATGTTTCAATTCGGTTAAACAGTTCTCGAGATAAAGTGAAGTACGCAAAAAGTAAAATTAACATTACGGAGCCCAAACTTTGGAGCGCTCTCCTGACAAAACTATTTGGGCCCTATTTCCCAGATTGCGGCTACCCCCTATGTTTTGGCGGTTAGAAATCCGAATCAGTCGAAAAACGTGTAGGCTTCTTCAGCGAAAGTACGTTATTGTGCCTAATTTCGTAGCTTAAAATATCATCTGCACTTATTAATTGGCTTTTTTGAGATCATCCTCTAGAGCAGTGTTTCCCAAAGTGTGGTACGCGTACTCCCAGGGGTACGGGAACAGTTTAGCTGGGGTACACGTTCTTATGCGAAATATCTTGCCACAAACGAAAATTTCAAAAATTTTTATTTAAAAATAAAGTTAGCTATTAAAATTTAGGATAACGTATTTTTCTATTTGCTATTTTTTGCAGAGTTAACAGTTATTAGTGATATCAACAGCCAGTTGTGATTTTTAACTTTTCATTAACCATTCATTTTTTTATTAGTGGTACACACAGCTTTATGAAAAATTTAGAAAGGGTGCACAAAAGTCATAAGTTTGGGAAACACTGCTCTAGAGCCATTAAAATTGAATCCTAGAAAGCGAAAATCCGATCATTAGATCAAAGTTGTTAAGAGGTCCGTTTTTTTTCTTCTTCTTTTTTTTCTTTTTTCTTGTTTCATTGTACATAGTTATCAAGCTATACATTTTAACGAACGAATATTTGTCTTCTTTGTCAGGTTTAACCCGGCAAGTTGTGAAAGGTTTTTCGCTTTATGCTAATACGAAAGAGTTATTTACGGAGAACGTCAAGAAAACATCTTTAGACTACATTAATGGATTTCGGGCTCTACTTTGTGTATTGAACGTATGGACACATGCCATGATATATCCGACTTTTTGGAAGGAATTGCGTTATAGTAAGTATATTTAACAATAAACATACCTCAACCGGTCGAATGACCATTGAAGAACATTTGCATGGAAAATGCGCTTATCGTTTTTGCACATTTCACTTCATGACTATTTCTAACAATTATATACAGTTGATATTCTATTATTATTATTATTTTTTGTATTTTGTTCACTTCGAATAATACCTATTTCTACCACAACGAGTCATTTGACAGGGAGAACAATTTATTGCTTTATAAGGTTATCCGATCAGAAATTATGATGTAATGCGTGTTGCATTCGATTACTTGCACATTTCTGCAAAGACTGTTACGTTCAATCAGAAGAACTTTTAATTCAAATTTCAAGAAAGTACCCTAAATTTTAGATTGCCATTTTTGTGTAAGAAAAAGTGACGAAAACTAAATGTTTTGGTAAGCAGCTTATTATTTTTTTATATCTTTACTTCATTTCTAACTAGCTGTTAGTTTTTACCCAGAAAAATGTCGAAACAATCTAGACAGTTCTTACAAGAAATAATATTAATTAAATAATTATAAGATTTATAATTCTTATAAGAATTATAGAAATAATAATAATTAGGCCAAATATGTTTGCTGAAAATGTACAATGGAAAGACCCTGTATGTGTGAAAAATGCGTTGAGCAATGAGTTAAAAATTCTTATTCTTTGTGTTTGTAATACATAAAAGTTTGCAATATACAATTTCATATAATTATAATAAAGTTTATTTAGTTTATTTCCTTCCTAACATCCATATTCCATACTGTCAATCTAGAAACATTAAGTCCGTTCTTTTGACCGGCAGTGGAAGAAATAGGTATACATTAAGAGTTGGTATGTTTAGTGTTAGCAAAATGCCTGAAGCATTTGTCACATGGCGATAAAGCGTTGCTATCTGTAGAATTCTTTGGACGTTTCGATTAAAAATTTCGCCAAAAATAAAAAGGATAAACGTTCGAAAAAAAAACATTAAAATTGAGATAAGGAATGTGAACATTTGAGTGTAAAAAAAATTTGTTCNGCGCACTGTACATATAATTAACAAACTATACATATTATCGAATATTTGTCTTCTTTTTCAGGCTTAACCCGACAAGTTCTGAAAGGTTTTTCTCTTTATACTAATACGAAAGAATTATTTGCGGAGAGAGTCAAGAAAACATCCTTAGACTACCTTCATGGATTTCGGGTTCTGCTTTGTCTATCGATCATTAGGGGACATACCATGGCATATCCCACTGTTTGGAAAGAATTGCGCTATAGTAAGCATATTATTATTTGTTGTTTGATTCGCCCTATCCACTCTAAGGAAATCATTATTTTTTTATTACAAAAATATTTTTTCTAAAATATAGTTAATAAACTAGTTTAGGTTTTGAAAAAAATATTTTTCTGAACTGCGAATATCAATTTTTGAAATTTTAACTTTTATTTTGAGCTTTTTTTTAAAAAATATTATGAAATTCCTAAAAATAAAAATTAGAATTTTTTTTTTTTAGACAAAAAATTTAAAAGATGCAAGTCTGAAAATTTTTAAACAGAAAACAACGATTTTCGTTCATGAAAATCAAAAAGATAAACATTTGAAAAAACTCTTAAATTGATAAGAATTGAAAATATAACTAATGTGTTTTGGAGAATATTTTGAACATTTAAACATTTTAGAAATATTTATCGTTTAAAAAACCGTTATAGGAAGAAGATTTCCTTAGATCGAAAATATATTTAACATTTTTGAATGACGGTTAGATTAAAATTTTCATTGAAAATAAAAAATAAAAAAACAACCTTAAAAATTTTAAAAATGACGAAAATTAAAAAGATGAGCATCTGAAAAATTTGTTACTGGAAAACAAAAACTTCATTAAGTGGAGAATATTTTGAACTCTCAGTTTAATAATTTCAATGAGAATGAAAAACATAAACGTTTGGATAATTTACTTTAGAGAGACAACGACTTTGATACTTGTAGAATATTTTAAATGCATAAAAACGCATCGTTCCGATTAAAAAATTCTGACAGAAAAAAAATAATAAAACTTTTATGGAAATGAAAAGATAAACTTCTGAAAAATTCGTTACAGGGCTCAAATTTCATGGTCATAGAGAAAATATTTTAATGTTATTTAACGTTTAAATTAAAACTTTGTACAAAAATGAAAAATGAAAATTGTTTGAAAAATTCTGAAAATAACGAAAACTGAAACAATGACCGTTTGAAACAGACGCAATAGGTATAAACAGACATTGACGTCTCCATATGGAAAATATTTTTAATGTTATTTAACGTTTAAATTAAAACTTCGATGTCAATACAAAAGATTGAACGTTTGAACAAAAATCCTAAAATAACGAAATTTGAAAATAACTCGTTATAAGGAGAAAACTACTTCGCGGAGAATATTTGGAATGTTTAAATACGAAACGCTCTGGATTCAAATTTCAACGAAAATATTTAAAAAAAAAAAAAAGGCTCAAATTTCAACGAAAGAAACGGAAGATAAACGGAAGGGTTTTATGATACTAATGAATGCATCAGTGGACTGTATGATTAAAACAACTAAATTTAACAAACAACCGAGAATCCTTGGCTGACAAGAGCGATTGACCCGCGTGATTCTCCGTCTAGAAGAGGGAGAATGAATTGTTATTTCCCGCGTGATGAACGCCATCTCCACCCACTTATGATGATCCTTTAGAAGACCATGCTTTTTTGTTAAATATTTTTCTTCGAATTGAACATATCTATAGTCAGCGTTGATAAAATGTCTGAAACCTTTGTTATATGAAGATAAAAAACCTTGCTATCTATGGAGTTCATTGAATGTTTAACGTTTCGATTAAAAATTTCGCCAAAGATAAAAAGGATAAACGTTCGAAAAATATTACTAAAATTGAAGAGCTGAATGTCTGAAAAATTCTTCATCGGAATCAACGCCCTTGTCAAAAGGAAAACATTCTGAATAAAAAAATTCACCAGGTTAGGATAAATAAATTGTCAGGACAGTCTTGACATACGCTTCTGAAGCTTGGACAATGACAAAATTGTAACACAATATTTGAGAGAAAGATTTCGTGGAGTAAACTTGATGGTGTAAATGAAATCAATAACTGGAGAAGGAGATTTAACTTTGAACTGCTCGGGATCTATAAACAACCCGATATTATTAAATACATAAAAATGAATAGAATGAATTGGATGACCTACGTGATTCGAATGAGTGATGACAATACAATAAAATAGATACTGCTTTTTAGCCTTCGTAACCTTCTAGTTGAAAATTTCCCCTGAAATTGAAAAGATAAACTTATGAAAAATTCGTTATGGGGAGGCAATGACATTGTTATATAAAAATGACATTGTGATTGCCATGTGGAGAACATTTTGAATGCCATTGACGAACAGTTTAAAATGTTTGTAACAGAGAAAAATTCTGCATAGGTAGAATTTGCTGTTTGCTCATTGATGTTTGAAAAGTTTCAGAAAGTGGATTTCTAGATCATAACTTCAGAAACAGTTTTAAAATAATTTTAAAATAATACCCTTCTGAATATAATTTTTTCAGAACAATCCATATTGTATGAAAAACATTTTTAATCTAATTTTTCCTTTTGTAGGAAATTTTCACTTCATATTCGAATTTTTGAGTTATCTTTTGGAAAATAACGGCCCAGTTATAGTGGACTGTTTCATTACTATCAGGTACTTAAAATATATGGTACTCTATCTTTACTATGTTAGTACGTTTTCCATGCTTCTAATAATTTACTTAAAATGTGCAATGTTCGAAAATTATTGAAATATCCAAATATCTCAAGAAATGGGCATCGAAACAGAAAACTAAAAATATATATCAGATCAAATGCTTAAAAAATGCACACCGAAACAAAAATCTAATAATAACTTCGGATCACCACTCTAAAAATGTACATCGCGTAAAAAATATACTAATACATATCGGATAAGATGTCTTACAATATATATCGGGTCAAAAATATTCTAATACACGTCGGATGAAAAATCTAAAAATACACGAGTGAATTATATTCAAACAATGCACTCAATAATGATACCCAACTCGACCTCAAAATCCTTGACGGTGAAGATTTAAAAATTTCAAATAAGATCTTGGTATCATAATTTTGAAAATATTTCTCGAAATTCATGACGTTTGACTGTTTCCATATCATGCTCAGTATCTATAATTTATTTTCTCTACTGTTTACTTAATCAAAGTGAATCAAAAGTTTAATTTTTATCAATGTTTTAATTAATGTCAAGATATTTTTCGAACTGAACGAAATTGCTTTGAATTATGAATTGGTGAGGGCCTACTCACGTTAACGCTTATTTTCAGACAGAGCAGACTAACGAGCAATTTACTTTGTCAAAAACTTTTTCAAAAATACACAAATTAGAGATAACAGTCGGCATATTTCAAGAGCTCAAAAACAGGTACCCAATTTGAAGACTTGCCACACGTGAAAGAGAAGAAGTTACTCAGAAAAATGGAAAAATAAAGGTAAGAAACTAAACTATGAAAACCACAGTAGCTGATAAAGATAAAAGATGAAAAACAATGCAAAAAAAACACAAATCAATCAATATTTTCCCCTGATTTGTGTTTTTTGGTAGGAAACATTACGCTTTGCATTTCAAAAAACCTTTGTTTCTTTTCAGTCACATCTGGCAAGTCATGAAAATGGGCGCCTGTTTTTGAGCGCTTGAAACATGTCAACTGTTTTTCCCAATTCGTATATTTTTGAAGCAAATGCAGTTTTTAATCAAGCAATATCTTACCGCTTCAGTTTTTTTAGCATTATTTATTTCACGAGCGATTATCTCCAAGGCATAAATGATATCAAATATATTTTCTATTTGAATAAAATTATTTTTTTTTACTTTCATGTTAATCACCACGCTATAATATAACAAACGTATAATTTAATGAAGTAAAATTCGTTTTTTTTTTTTTTTCGTGATGTTTGATACTACAATGGAGGGACCTCACCGCCTGTTCGCTTCGCTTCCACCCCCGATTGCTACTCATTAAATTTTGTTTTGAATCATAAATTGAATTTTTATTAAAATAAAAGGTACTTCGGGACTATACCGAAGTCACGACAACGTTCACTAAAATTCGCAAATCCTTTAAGTCTATCATAATAAAACGCAATTTCCAAAATAAACATTCTAAACACATTAAATTTATCAAATAAAATAATAATAACAAAAAAATTTAAGTGTAAAAATACGTAATAAAAAGAATCAAAACAAAGTAAAAAAAGGATAAAATGTGATGCAACAAAATAAAAAATTATAAAATGGAGTGATAAAATAAATTTGCGGTTATTGGTGCAAAAGCTATTTTCTGGTGATAATTCTGTGTTTGGCGAAAATAGTCAACGGTATAATCCCAAAGTACCAAAAAAACTATTTAATTAAAGGATCCTTTTTTTTCCAAATTAACACAGATAAAACTTCAGATTTTATTAGGATAAAATTCAAACCCACTCATTTGCTGATATATCATAGTAACTTCATCTGCGACTTTTTTAAAAGAACTTGCATTTAATTTTTAGTTTCTAAGAAAATTCATAGTAATGTTATACAGTTTTCTATTCATTGTTTCAATTAGATGTCTTAATTGAATTCAGTTATTCACAAAGCTTGCAATAAAAGTAACTATATCTTATGTATCATTTAATATTTTGAAAACAGTCAATACTGATTTAAAAATGTAGCATGCTGTTGAAACACGAACTACAACTGATTAAAAACACAACTGAAATATTAAAGCACAAACTAGAACATAATTAAAATACAACTCTGTTTGAAAAAACTACCAATACTAACGTTAAAAATTTAACAACTTTTTAATAATTTTAAACATATACCAGTTCTACCAAATAATAAACATCATGCTCAAGAAAAAATCAAATCTGAAAAAATCGGTAACGTAACTAGCACTTAAAAATTACAACAATAACGAAGGCGCAACTAGATCATCCATCGTTTTCTAATTTACTATCGTTTTCAAATTCCAGAAAAAAATGATCTAGTTCATCGCTTTTAACACATGTGATGATGAAGTAATATCATACGATTACTTTATAATAAGGCTCCTCTTTATAATAAAGAAACAACGCGGTGAAAGTTTATAATAGGGTGCTTTTCTTATTTTTGTGTCAGTGCAGGAAACTTGGAAATGAATTGGAAGTGAGGTTTTTTTAATATTAAGGAATCCCTATAGAGAAATAATAGGAAGATGAAAGATTTTGTAAAAAGTAAAAACTCAAAATTCCAGTGACAAGGGGTACTCTAACCAAGAACTCTTTAAATAGCCATCAATTTGAAAAATAATCAAAAGCTTAATAACAGAAAATATTAAGAAGGGTCAATAAGTATTACAACAACATTTTGACCTATATATAGAATAATGTAAAGAATTTGTCTGTTTACATACCGGATTGTGGGTATATTGTTGGCACTTAAAATACGACGTTCAAAATGTAGCTAAATGACATGAAGTTCGGCAACACCAGCGAATTTCATGAATTTTTATTTGTTGTTTTTTGGTGTTTAAACTTTTATCAATAAGCTCTAAATGACTGAACTTCGGCTTTTGATTCGTTATTTTATTTTTTATAACCATCTTTGAACGCAATTTCGGATTTACGACTACTAATGTTCAACACCGTAGCCTTGTAATTTTGAACCCAATCCAGAAAACAAGGGAACTCCTGGATCAAGTATTGGGAGAAATTTGCTTTCGTGGAGGTTCTTTTTAATGGAAATAACCCGCATTTGCGTTACATGGAGGGAAAAACCACGAAAACCTCCTATGGTTATCCTGACTGCAAGGGGGGTCTGACCCATGATTCGTCTACCACTGAGGATATTTTACGTCAGCACTGTGGTCGATGCGAGCCGGGTTCGAAATGCATATCGATCAGTCATCTCTGGGATTCGAACCCGATCACCTCATTCGACGGCAAACGCCATGAGCCACCATGGCTCTTGATTTGTTATTGCTATAAGCGAGAACTTTCAGCGAGAGTGTTGCAGAACTTTTTTAACAGCCTATTATAACCAAATTATGCAACACCAATTTCCGGTTTTTTAAATAGATTGTCAATTACGAATTTTTTCAAGCAAATTGTTTTTTTTTTTTTTCTTCTTTTGTGATTTTTTATGTATCTGCCTTTTGATCCCACCGCTTTAAAACGAAAGGCCTACGAATTTTAGTATCTTTTTTTTCCATCGTAATGTTCAAAATTCTTTCCTTCAAAGTGAGCCATTTCATTTTTGGGACGATTTTTTCTGTTTCAAAAAAAAAAAAATAATTCAAGAAATCCATTTTTTCGTCATCTATTTCTCCCGACATTTTTTAATTGGGATCTGTAAGTCTATGGTATATATTATTTTCAAATTTAGTAAACATGTATAGTAATCTCTCATTTAAGATCAAAAAGAAGGAAAACAAATAATATTTTTTAATTAATTTTTAAACATACCTGCCACAGTGCGCCTTAACTAAAATTAAATAAAATGTTCCTACACCTAGGAAATTAGAAGAGATTCTGAATTTACAATGTGCTTAGATAATAAAAGTCGAAAAATTAAAATAATCTGTGGAGAGATTTTTAAAAAATTCCTCTTTGAACATTTTTGCTCACGAAGTACGATATTTCAAAAATGTTAGCATCATTTTATACTTATAAATAGAAAGAAAAATAACATATTTGTATTAAATATTCATAATAACAGTTTATAATAAATTTTATAATTATTAGAAGTTCTTTAATTGTTAATTATAGTCGATGAACCACTATTTATAAAACAAAAATAATAAAAACTTAAATAGACTCTAGCGACGCAAGCACTGTGACTGTGTGTGCAAAACGAAGTAGAAAAGCAATTGAACCAGGATAAAAAACAAAACTTAATATCACAGCTCATTCTGTCGATGATTATTTTGATTTTAAGGAATTTCCTTCCGTTTGTATAAAAGGCGATGAAGTCTCGGATGCTCCTGCGCTTGGAGTTTACTGCATGTGAAAAATAAACGAGATGTACTGGATGTTCACTTAAAAATGGGTATTGATGTAGAAGGTGGATTTTTAAAAATATGTCTTTCAGTACAATCAAATGAGTTGGACTTCGGGTGCAGCGGTAAGCGTGCTAAGTATGATGAGGGGATAGCTGCAAGGAAATTTAAGGATTCTAGAGTTAAACGACTATTCATTCTACCAGCCGTTACGAGTGCACAAGAAAATTATAAGAATGTAGATCAACTCATTTCAACGTTGAATATAAGTCCTTTCCACGGCACAATTAAAACCGATTTGAAGTTAGAGAATATCTTAGCAGATATAATGTCGCACAGCAGCGCATATCCATGCACTTATTGTTATGCCAAGAAAGATAAGCTAAACAGCTGTGGCGAATTGAAATCCCCCGAAAATGTTTCATCGTATTATACAAGTTGGCTGACTGAAGGAAAAGGTTCAAAAACAAAGCGAAAGATTATTTCAATTGCATCAATCCACTACTAATTGCAACTGTTGGAGGCAAAACATTCCTAGACATTATTCCACCGCCAGAATTACACCTTATGCTTGGTGTTGTTAACACTGTTTTCACGCATATGTTGAAAGAGTGTGAAAATGAATCGCTGACTTAGACAAAAGCTTGTCACGTTTAACGAAATCAAACGAGAATGTTCTGGGTTTAAAGGAAATGCATGCAAAACACTTTTGGCTAAAGAAGAACTTCTGCACTAGTTTAAAAATCTAGCAATACTGAAGTACGTTAAAGTATTTGACGACTTCAAAAAAGTGGTTTCTGCATGCTTCGGAAATAATCTTGACCAAAATTACAAAGCATGTATAGAAGCTTTCAAAAAGAGCTACATGGACTTAGGTGTCAGCGTTACACCAAAGGTTCATGCAGTTTTTTTTCACATTGAACAGTTCTGTGACAAAAACGGTGAAGGATTAGCATTTTTTGGGGAGCAGGCGATGGAGTCCGTACATTTTGATTTCTTAAAGTCTTCCTGGGAAATTAATAAGGTTGCTGCAAATCACCCGGATTATTCTAAACACCTTTCGAGCGCTGTTTGTAGATATAATGCTTCACATGTTTAAATTGATGTAATTATAATTAAATTATGTTACATTTTCATATTTTATCAGCAGTAAAATGTTTAAATAATAAAAGTGTAATATAATTACAACTGAAAAATCATTATTATATAATTTTTGTCCTTTCTATTGATATAAAACAACGCCAGATTTTCCGAAATATCATACTTCGTGCGCAAAAATGTTCAAAGTGGATTTTTTTTAAAATCTCTCCACAGATTATTTTGATTTTTTGATTTTTATTGTCTGTTAACATTGTAAATTCAGAATCTCTTCTAATTTTTTAGGTGTAAGAGCATTTTATTTAACTTTGGTTAAGGCGCACCGTGCTGCATGTTAAGTAGTTCTGATTCTCTCGGCAATCTATTGTTGATGCTAGATTATTTTTATTTTCGGGTCACGCATACGCTTAGGGTCAGCTGCCAAATCGGGTTTTTTTTTGGCATTATTTGAATATCCATTATAATATCAGTGATTTATTAGCTTATAACATCAATGTAGCTGAGAGCATGAACTTTAGAGATTCTTAATCTTACGTCCCGCAGTGGACTGATCGTTAAGACACGGTTCCCAGCAGATCACCGAAGTCAAGCATCACTGACTGCGGTCAGTGTGCCGGTAGGTGACCACTTGGATCAGTCTGCGTACGGACCAAGGGTGTGCGGTATTGGTCCTCGTTAAACTGTTCAACCGTAAAGTGCTCAACTTCGCTCGCAGGTCGTCGAGCTACCAAAGCGGGGGAGCCGTCCCCTCTGCAGAGTATCGAAATTGTAATGGCATGCCTTCGGATCATCCTCAGGGATGTTTCCCAGACCGACGCCAATTGCCCCTTGTGCGATGTAAATGGACTGTAGTGCAACGTGAATGAACTACAACAACAACTTAATCTTAGCGTTTTCAGTTCCCTTGTCTTCTGGATTGGGTTCAAAATTACGAGGCTACGAAGTTGAACATTAATAGTCGTAAACCCATAAAAATTGGGTCGGCTTTTCAACGACGGTTATAATAAAAAATTCTGGGGGCAGTGATGTGGATCAGGGGATAGAGCATTCGCCTTCCAATGACGTGAACCGGATTCGAATCTCAGCAATGGCTGGTAGAAACGAATTCTGCATTGTGCGCTTAAAAAAAAATTCGGTCTTTAGAATGAACAACTGACTTAAATATTTCAAGAGAGATTAAACTTGTATAAAAGTCGCCAATTTGGTCAAGAAGAAAATTATTAAAACCAATCAATAATTGTCACCTTTTTTTGTAAATTTTTATGAACATACAAAAAGTGTAGCAATGGATTAACTTTTTAAATGTTAAAAAATAGATAATAAACTCTTTCTATTTTCACAAAATTAAGGCTTTTCTTCGTATCAACGTTTTGCTCCATTTTTAAAAATAGTTCAGAGAACGCTGACTGAAGTTGGGTTAAACTAGACATAATGTTCATGAATAACGTGTCAACTCACAGCAGTTATGAAAATTGCAAATAATTTGAAAAAACCTGTATTTTTTTCTGTGATGACAGAGCTTTCGAAAAATAGCTTCAACCTAAAACAAGCACTTAACAAAATCTCTATATATTTTTCAAACTAATAAGCCTATGGGTATAACATTTGACGGTATTACGGTATCTTTCCTGAAAAAGGTATCTTTTTTTTCAAAATATTACCCTTTAAAAAATGTTGGAGAGTATGGGACCTTAAAAACGATCAAATGAACTACCATTTCAATATATTGCCCAATAACTTATTATAATTAAAATTAAGCTTCCCCAAACTTAGTTTCCCGATTATAAGGATAAACTGGGTATAAAACGTGGTCCCATTTAACACTTTATTTAGGTTGTAATAAATTTACACCGTATTATAGTTCAAGACATCGATATTATTGTTCAACATTAAACTGATTTTTTCTGAGAGCGTGGAATGGTTTAATTCTTTGATGAAATAACATTTTCTTTTCAAAAACAAATTTATATTGAAATTCTGAGAATTTCATAACAGAAACATGACATTATAACCAGCAATCTTTTATTCAACTTCAAAGGAATCAAGCATCAATATTAGTGTTCGACTAATTTCTCTTAGGCAGTTAGAATAGTTCAGTAAATGAATGTTTCACTCAATTTAAAAACAAATTTTTATTAAAAGTATACAAAATTCATAATTGAAAAACAAAATGAGTAATAATTATTATTTCAATTTCAGTGGGTTCTTGATTACCTACACTTTATGGAGAAAAATTGAGCAATCTAAAGGATATTTGAACGTATTTGAACAGATTTTGCTGAGATATTGCAGGTATGTAATTTGTACCAAAACATTTTAACAATATTTTATGCGCGAATTATGTGTCAAATTAATACATAACTTCTAATATCTAGAATGAAGGAAATTTCAGTTTAAATTCAATCATATTTGTGGTCGCCCGACACTAAACATTGCAGATATTAAATTTGAAATCTTTTTTTCAATTTAGTTCTTCTTCTTATCTTGCGTAGAAAACGTGAAACTGTTACGACTAAACAATGCAATGTTATATTTCAAAGAGAAGTGCAAGTTTTTAAACATTGAGTTTAAATATAATAGAGCGCTCACATGACTATAATGTTTGTCTCAGTAATGAAACCACGTGACTCCTGTGGGAATCAAGAGGGAATATTTTCAATCTTCGTTTCTCCTTGTCATTTCAATGGAACACAATTGACGCTGATCTCTTAAAACCAAAAACTTTAATATATGGTGATTTATTATGCCGCATTTGGTGGCAAACAAAATTTTGTTAAAGATCTTATACATTTCATGGGTAAGTTAATTTGTCACTTTTTGTAATTGCAATAGTTCTATTTATTATATAAATAAGCATTTAGCCTTTTCTCTCCCTTAAAGCATCATATTAATCCATATACATTAATATCATATACATTCCCTCATAATTAATATCATATACACTCCCTCATAATTAATATCATATACATTCCCCTTTCATCCACGTAAAAAATTAATAAAAAATGCATACTTTGATTATTTTTTTTAGATTAACTAACTCTTCCAGACCTTCTTGTGATGTCTCTTTGCCTCGTGTTGCCATTAATTAGTTCGGGTTCAATGCTTATGATATTAATTGTTACACTAATGATATTAATTGTGGCTTAGGTTCTAATTTACTCATACATTCCATTTTCATTCACATGAAAAATTTATAAAAATTTCATACCTTATTTTTTTTTGTCAGATTAACTCCTCCAGTCCTTTTTGTGATGTCACTTTACATAGTGTTCCCATTAATTAGCTCGGGTCCAATTTGGAACTCATCTTGGGCGCATGAACATGAAAACTGTTACCAAAATGGTTGGAAAAATTTGCTATACCTTCAAAACTACAGCTTAATGACAGAAATTGTAAGTAAACTCTATGAAATATTCTTGTCTTAAAAATCACTGGTCTTGTATGAAAACAGTTATGTATTCAAGTGTAATGAAAAGGCTGCTAAATATGATTTTAAATTAAAAACTGCCTTCTACTTTTCCATCTAAGTTTGATTTTAGAAACTGACATTTTTAGTCAACATAAAACGCATAATTATTTTTTGAATCTAACTTACGTTATTACAATCTAATGTATGCAGTCCAGCTAATTTGCCGGTTAATGTTATAGAAATATATATTATTTCCCTGAGGTATAACTCTCAAAGGAAACATAGAGGACTTTGTGACCCGACAGATTTAACGTGCACCAGTCCTCATTTACTACTCGGGGAGTCTTCGGATTCAAACCTCCGTTCTCACGAATGTAAAACCAGCGGCCTGCCAAACATGCTATCCAGGCCTCAGTTAAAAGTAAAATAGTGATTTCTAAAAAAAATGTTTTTGTCCCTTCCCTATAAAACATATTTAATTGATTCAAAATGTGACAACTATATACTTAGTGTACTTAAAAATGTCCTTTTCTTTTCGACGTTAAACTAAGAAACAATAACTAAGAAGCTTTCATTTTTATTTCAGTGCATGGCGCAAACGTGGTATATAGCTAATACGATGCAGCATGCCATTATCTCCCTCCCATTAATGATTGTTACTTACAGGTATTTATTCACTTCTTTTAATTTATTTATTAACATGAGTTTAGAAATCTTAATGTCATTCAATTTAATTTTGAACGGATGAAGTGAACTGGGTGCTCCGTAATCACCTCCCTTAGTATATGTATTTAAAATTCCTTTCAAAACGGAATGAAGTGAACATGTTGTTCCGTAATCACCTCCCTTAGTATATAGATTTATAGTTCCTTTCAAAAAGGAATGAAGTGAACATGTTGTTCCGTAATCACCACCCTTGGTACATAGATTTATAATTCCTTTCAAAAAGAAATGAAGTGAACATGTTGTTCCGTAATCACCTTCCTTAGTACATAGATTTATAATTCCTTTCAAAAAGAAATGAAGTGAACATGTTGTTCCGTAATCACCTCCCTTAGTATATAGATTTATAATTCCTTTCAAAATGGAATGAAGTGAAAATGTTGTTCCGTAATCACCTCCCTTAGTATAAAGATTTATAATTCCTTTCCAAAAGGAAGGCAAAATATGCATTTATTATGGATCACGCACTAATATTTAACCCATTGTGGACATGGATCCATCAGCAACCACAGTTTAGAAACAAACATATTTTATTTCGCTTTAGTCCATAAACTTTGGAGGCAATAACTTTTTTATTTAATAATAATTCACAATAATATTTTTAAAATTGCTCTTAAGGGTGATAAAACTTTACCTTCTTTAAAAATTATTGACCGATTTCGATCGAATTTCTTGTTTTGTCATTTAAAATTACATACTTTAAAATTATCAAAAAATTTGTGTACTTTACAATTCTAAATGTTTTTTTTAAACCTTATAAAAAATAATTAAATATTATTCAAAATTACCTTTTTTACAATGAATTATATTTAGATAAACGAATTTAATAATTATGTACAAATATTCTCAATTTGCCTTAAAAGTCTCGAAAAACGGCGGAATGTGAACATTAAGGGGGACAAACTTTCCAGCGCCCTCTTGACTTTTGAGATTAAGATCATATTTTCCAGGTTGCAGCTCCATCCCCCCCTATATTTTGATAGTCACCTCTATCGAGAAATGGTTATATTCATTTCGAGGAAGTACGTTGTTATATCAATCTCCTTAACTTAAATAAAAATTAAGATTAATTAGTCTGCATGTCACCTTTCTAACTTTTAAGATTGGAAGGTATTTCAGGAAATATCAATCTTCAAAACAAAGGTTATTTAAGTTAACGTCTTTTTATTTTGCACTCAGTATCCTAAAGCAATTGAATTTTAAGATTTTCCTCTAAATAAAAATATCTTATAACTAAACTATATAAGTTTAATAATTTCATTTTTTTTAATATTTTAACCTGTTCTTCCGTTCTAAAAGCAAGATTAATTTTTATGGTGAGATGGTTTATATAGTTTAAAATAATAGTTTTGTTTCAAGTTAAAGAAATTCAAATTTATGCGTTTTTTTTCTTCTTTTTTTGTGGAAAAGCTTCGAAAATACAAGATGTTACCAAAACTTATTTTCACAACTGTATTGGGCGGCCAAATTTGTTTTTTATTCTCAAATAAAAAGGATGAGGAGCGAGAAAAAACTTTGTTTGGGTAGAGTAAAATGGCACATTTCCCAGAATTCATTATTCATTGCTACAATACATGCAGAAATTTTCAAAATAAAAAGAAAGCTAATTTTTATTTATGTACGAGTTGTTAATGGCGGTTTCGCAAAATCAGAAAGATAGACGGAGAAAATTTTAAAACAGAAAACAATGATATTAAACTGCTGGTGCAAGTAAATCACCAATATGGAAACCTGTATTGCAACTCTTCTTAGAATTACTTGCAAAATTTCCGATAATGAATATAATTTATTCCTTATGATTTGTCTTTACTGCAATCCCTATTTCAACCCAACAGGTGTCATGTAATGGCTCGTTCTTCGCTTTCCAACCCGACATATTTTTGTTTACTGCTTGAACTCACTTAAATTGTTTATCTTATTCATAAATGCATTATCCTTTGTAGGTACCCCAAGACTGGAATATTTTTGGGCTTGCTATTTTACTTTGGACCAAGTGTTTATTTCTTTTATCTTTCTCTCGAACACCAATTTCCATTTGCATCATTTAATTCACTAAGATATAGCCAGTAAGTTAAAAATTTCATTAATATTTTTAAGTAAAGGCTGTGACATAAAAGCAGGTCCGGCTACTTGCTATATATTAGAAAGCTTTTGCATAAAATTATGGTTGTCTCATAACGCAAATGCTATATTACTTATAACAAAATTAATTGTAATTATAATTTTTAAATTAATTATAAAATTATTTGTAATTATAATTATGAAATTAATTATAAAATTAATTGTAATTATAATTATAAAATTAATTTTAATTATAATTATAAAATTAATTGTAATTATAATTATAAAATTAATTGTAATTATAATTATGAAACTAATTATAAAATTAATTGCAATTATAATTATAAAATTAACTATAAATTAATTATAATTATGCATTAAATATAATTATGTATTATTATAATTATGTATTAATTATAAAATTAATTGTAATTATAATTTTGAAATTAATTTTGAAATTAATAGTAATTATAATTATAAAATTAATTACAATTATAATACTTTATATCAATAAATACATAATTAAATTAATTGTAACTATGATAATAATATGAGTATAAAAACAATAAATGATATACCAACATTCGATCCGTTCATCATTCATTCAGTAAAAGTGTCTCAAACAATTTTCTCAATAATCTCAACAATCATCTCAATGTCTCAAACAATCTCAAGAATCATAACAATTTCACTATACGGCGTTCTATGCTGTTATATTGAATTCTCTGGGAATGAAAAAACTTGGCGTGTTATTCTTGTTTACTAAAAATCTCAAGAAATGATGGCGTAAAATTATTATTTAATGAAGATAAATTTGGTGGATTGCGTTCTTTACTGAAGATCGTGCAGGTTTCGAACAATTATTATTCTTCAGCTAGAGCTATTTTGAAATGAATATTTTAGGTTATGCTCTTTGTGAAACAATTATTAGAAATACAAATTCAGAATTTTTGATATTATTTTTAATTTTTAAGAGATGTTTCGTATAAGAATTCGGTGATTTATTTTCTTCTAACTATATCGTCTATTATAATTCCTTAGAAATACTAAAAATGTTAGTTAATTATAAAAAAAATAGTAAATGAGTTCAAAAATTTTTTTGATTTTAAAATCGTTTTCTTTTAAAGATGTACTCTACAATGTATAAATATCGGGTTAAGTTACGATAGCTAATTTAACAGTATTTTATAAAGTGTAATTTAACTGCATCTATTTATATTACTAACAAAAATGATATTATCTTGATTTTGCAAATGGAATTGATAAATGAACAATTCTCTCCTACAGTTTAACCGAAAAATTCATGTCAACTGTTTACGTATCCTCTCCTTACCATCTTCCCGCCAATTTAATTGGAATGTTTGCAGGTTGGACATGCGTTAAATTTGGAAAACAGAAACTAACGAAGGTGAGTACGCATTCAATTTCTTCTGTCACAACTCTTCTATTATAAAACCGTAAGTACTGATGCCACTGTTTTAGATGTTAAACATAACTTTATAATTAATTTTGCTGCGCAAAAACTATGAGTTTTAAAAGCTTGAAGTTACGCAGGACAGTAGGAAAAATTGGAGGAAGTGGGATGTTATAAAAAAAATTTAGAATTCAATTAATAGTTCGATAAAATAATATTCTCCACTTTTTCGCAAAAATTTCTCCACTGTGGCGGCGTAAATAATTTCAATTTCCTGAAATCATTAAATACTCAGCATTAGTATCAATTGTTACAGACATTGACTATATAATACTGAATGCAAAATATTTTCACTGGGTGGTAGTGTAAATAATTTCAATTTCCTGAAATCATTAAATAGTCAGCATTAGTATCAGTTGTTACAGACATTGGCTATATAATACTGAATCCAAAATTTTTTCACTGGGTGGTGGCGTAAATAATTTCAATTACCTGAAATTATTAAATAGTTAGTTATAGTATCAGTTACAGCCCGTAGTAACTTGTTACAGACATCAACTATATAATACTGAATGCAAAACTTTTCCACTGGTTGGTGGTGCAAATAGTTACACTAGTTCAAAGTCCAACACTTATAACTACTTGTTCATTCTATTAGCATGCACTATAATGTCAGAAAACTATCATGCAATATTAATTTAGGAGATACAATTTGGATTAAAACCTTTACACGCTATTTCATAACATTTTACATGAATTAAATAGTATGAATATTGTATTTTAAAAAAATTATTTACTTTTGTTGATAGATTTGGCTTCTTGTTGGATGGATTGTTTCGATATTTTGCTTCTTCTTTGCAACAGCTTTAATTTATATGCCGATAAAAAACTTCAAGATAATGGCCTTCTACGACAGTTTAAGAATCTCCGGAATGAGTTTGGCCACAAGTTGGATACTGTATATTTGTGCGACTGGTCAAGGAGGTGCCTGAAATATTTTTTTTCAAAATCATAACAAAATATTTCTTTAATAGAGTGAACGGTGCTTCAAAATCTAGTTTCTATCTTTACTATTTAAATAAAAAATATATAAAAAAAATTAAAGTCAATTCCTACTTAGGTTAACAATGAAATATTTTAGTCACTTTTTATTAAATAATTTCTCCCATATAAAACTATAATTAATTAATTAAATTTAATTAATGAATTAATATTATAAAAAACTGCATTAATATCAAGTGTCATCCTCTACAAGTTTAAAAATTGTGTTTGAACTTGAATGACAGAATAAAAAGTATTTTAATAACGATAGAAAATTTGAACAAGATATATATAGAGAGAGTGTGAACTAATAGAAGAAATTATTAAAAAAAAGGCGCGTGGTATCAAACAAATATAAAAAGTATAAATTTGGTGACAACACGTGCTACCCCGTAATGTTCTTTATTGAATTTATTTGACACAGCGAATATAAAATAATTAAATATTTAAATGTGCTCACTAAACTATTTTTTTGTATAAGTTAGAAATTATCAGTATTGTTATCTTCAAAATGTGTGAAAAACCGAATCGCTTATAGTGAAATTTAAAACAATGATTAACGCTTAACCAATCATAAAATTATTCAAAATTTTAATTTTTTTCATTTTAATTTTGAGTTTTGGCTCCGAAAAAGTGCTTAAATGTACAGTCTATTTTATATCATATTTTTTTTTGCTTTAACACATTACTTTATTACTTTTTTATTTGTTTCCTTTTTTAATTTTGAGCACTGTACAAAATAAATGAATGCAGTTTCTTTAAATACTATTTTCTTTTTAGGTATTGTTGAGAAAGCATTGTCCTTAAAGTCGTTAGTTCCTTTAAGTCGCATAAGTTATTGTGTTTACTTAATACATCCTATTTATTTGGTATTCAGGGATGCTATTATTACTGAAAGATACTACATGGATAGAATTTCACATGTAAGTTGGTTTTATATTTTTAACAACTGCAACAAAAAAGCTGTTATCGGGATAGCCTGGTTGGCTGAATGCTGGACTCTCGTTCATGAGAACGGGAGTTCAAAACCAGCCGGCGAATTGACTGGTATGACTAGTGTGTTGCACGTTAAATTTGCCCAGTCAAAATGTCCTCATGTTCTCATAACAAATTATGCCTCTGGGGATACTGGATTGGAGATTGATCGTTATCTGGTCCAGGTCAAAATTACTATCTTCGGATGAATGAATGGATGTNCTATAATTAATTAATTAAATTTAATGAATGAATTAATATTAGAAAAAACTGCATTAATATCAAGTGTCATCCGCTACAAGTTTAAAAATTGTGTTTGTACTTGCATGGATGAATAAAAAGTATTTTAATAACGATTGAAAATTTGAACAAGATATATAGGGAGCGTGTGAACTAATAGAAGAAATTTAAAAAAAAAAAGGCGCGTGGTATCAAACAAATATAAAAGTATAAATTTGGTGACAACACGTGCTACCCCGTAATGTTCTTTATTGAATTTATTTGACACAGCGAATATAAAATAATTAAATATTTAAATGTGCTCACTAAACTATTTTTTTGTATAAGTTAGAAATTATCAGTATTGTTATCTTCAAAATGTGTGAAAAACCGAATCGCTTATAGTGAAATTTAAAACAATGATTAACGCTTAACCAATCATAAAATTATTCAAAATTTTTATTTTTTCATTTTAATTTTGAGTTTTGGCTCCGAAAAGGTGCTTAAATGTGCAGTCTATTTTACATCATATTACTTTTGCTTTAACACATTGCTTCATTACTTTTTTACTTGAGCTCTGTACAAAATAAATGAATGCAGTTTCTTTAAATACTATTTTCTTTTTAGGTATTGTTGAGAAAGCATTGTCTTTAAAGTCGTTAGTTCCTTTAAGTCGCATGAGTTATAGTGTTTACCTAGTACATCCTCTTTATTTGGTATTCAGGGATGCTATTAATACTGAAAGATACTACATGGATAGAATTTCACAAGTAAGTTGGCATTATATTTTTAACAACTACAACAAAAAAGCTGTTATCGTGATAGCCTGGTTAGCTGAGTGCTGGACTCTCGTGCATGAGAACGGGAGTAGGAAACCAGCCGGCGAAGATGACTGGTATGACTAGTAGTGTGTTGCACGTTAAATTTGCCGAGTCAAAATGTCCTCCATGTTCTCATAACAAATTATGCCTCTGGGGATACTGGATTGGAGATTGATCGTTATCTGGTCCAGGTCAAAATTACTATCTTCGGATGAATGAATGGATGTATAAATGGATCTGCCCCATAAACGGATGTGATGTATGGATGAGGCAGAAGTCAAATTCTTGGCCATAGATGGCGCCAATAGAAAACAAGAGCCATCGCACTCCTTGCCTTAATGGCCAATGGCAAGGGCTGACACCAAAAAAATAGTTAACAATAGCTGCGTCACTAATGCAACCAAAATGACGCATTACTTGTTCCCCAGCCCTTTATTGCATTAAATCTTACCATTCAATCCTACTCTAGCTAGACAACAGAGATGAACACTCTAACCACAATTTCGATTAGTTAGTTATCCTCCAGATTTCACACAACCATTGCTGGACTTTTTAGAATCAAACAAGTGCATTAGCTTTTCTTTAGGAACATTAAGATGGAAGAAAAAATCTTTTCTGACACTCTTCCTTTAACTCTAGAAAGACTAAACATTACTATATACTTAGAAAGACTGAAAAGGAGAATTTGGCTTTTTACAAATTTTTTGCATAATATCAATTGATCAATCAAAATCTGGAAATATATTCATAATTAATTTTATAAAAACATAATATAGACTTGATGATCCAAGTTCTATGGTATTTAACTCGATTTGGTCGAAATATTTTATTACACGGGACACTGACTTATCAATTATACTTATAACTAGTTTCTTAGATATTTGAGTTTCCTTTTCTCTATAAATAATATGTTGAAATACTTTATTTTTAATAAAATACTTAAAGGATTATTTTATAACTTTAGAGATGCTTAGGTCATGCGACTTTTCATACTTAGCAATAAAGTTTAAAGCTTCCAAAAAAGTTAAAACCGTTGAAACGTAACCTGCAATAAATTACGAAAGAAAACAAATATTTTTGAACACCCTATGGCAGAAAATCAAACAAAAAACTTGCCAATTGTAATTTTAAAAACTTGTAATTTTACTTGCCATTTCTAATAACTGCACAAAGTTTCGTAAACCCCGAGCAAATATTTACGGAAATATAGATATTTTATGGAAGAAAATTTATTTCGCCTTACGTTTTTTTATTATAACTTTATAGATATTCAATGGAATTAAACGAAATTTTGGGAACAATTCAGGATTAATTATGAAATTGTTGTTTTAAAATTTTAAAAAAAGGTTCGTTAAAAACTGCGCAAGTTATAAGTATTTAGTTCTTTTATGCTGCGCATGCACTGAAAAAATTTTAAAAAGTTTTTCCTTAATTTTGTAGTTAATCGCATTTAGCAACTAACAAAAAAAATTTATTTGAATACCTTAAAAATTTAAAAATTCCATGCAATTTTCTAAGTAGGTTTTTTTACTTTTCAAAAAAAAAGCTCAAAACAATCAGGGAATCTTCAATTTTTTTTTGTATCTTAAGACAAAATTTAATAACAATTGATAATACCTTACAATAATCATCCGGAAACTAAACTTTGATGGTATATATAAAGATAACATGGAAAGAATACATATTTTTATGGGGGTGATCACCCATAATGCCGGTCACATTTTTAATAAATCCTGTTTAATAGTGCAAGATGAAATTTGTGGATAATCCATTATCGTTTTGAGCTTTCTTTTAATAAGTAAGAAAAACTACGCAAAAAATTGCTTGAAACTTTTTAAGTTTTTATGATATTCAAATAAAGCTTTTATCATTAGTTAGTAGCTTTTACCATTTGATCAAAGCTTTTATCAAAAGCTTTTATCATTATGTAGATTCCCTATAAAATTATGAATAAAAACTTGCGCATGCGCAGTATAAAAACTAGTTGACCCTAGAAAGACTGAAACTTAGTATATACCTATATTGCCCAAAAGCAGTCAAAACGACTGGATTGTGAAAGAATGACCAATGTGTAAAAAAATTCATTTAAAATTAATTTTTATTATTTTTTATATTATTTACAGTTATATAACAAGTTTTTAGTAAATATTAACAATAAAAAAAAATATATGCTGTACGAAAAGTCACCAAATTGTAAGAAATTGTGTCATTATGTATTGTTTTTCTAATTGAAATTAAAAAGCTGGGCAATCTAGTGTTAAATACTCATATCTCGAGCAATTTTAAAATTTTAAATCATAAATTACTATTTTTTTCAAGAATTTAAATCAGCAATTTTGCAATTAATCATGAATTTTTCCAAAAAAAAAAATTTTAATTCCATTGAATATTTATGAAGTTACAGCAAAAAAACGTAAGGGGAAGAAATTAAAATTTTTATAAAAATGTTCATATTTCCATAAATACTTACTCCAGGTTTAAGAAACTTTATCCAGTTATTAAAAATAACAACTAAAGATATAACTTACAAGTTCTTTACTTGATTTCCTGGCATAGAGTGTTCAAAAATACTTGTTTTCATTTGTAATTTGTTATAGTTCTTCCAAACCTTAAAACCAAAGCATTAAATCTTATTGCTAAGAATAAAAAATCACTTAACCTAACCACCTCGAAAGTTACAAAATTATTTGAATTTCACGAATTTATTGAGAAATTTAAAAAAAAAACATCTAAAACTGAAATTGTCTCTTCCATTATAGTCGGGTAGTGTACATCTAAAAGGAGTAAAATTGAATGAAACTGTCTTTTTTTTAAAATCAAATTTACTATTTTTGTTTATAAAAAACGAAGAGGTTGCTCTCCGACACTTATAATAGCTCCCAATCAACTTTTTAGATTAAAGATGTGTTTCTTTTGCAGATAGGAGACTTTGCACTCTATTTCCTGTTCTCAATATTTGCTGGTTTCATCATTTACATCGCTATAGAAGAACCTTTCAACAAAATGTATGATATGTTAAAAAAAAGAGTAACTAGTTCAACTCCACCAAATGATACGACTCAAATTAAAAATGACACAGTNGGGGGAATAATAAGTAAAAAATAACAAACAACAGTTTATATAATATATATATTAAAAAAAAGGATGAAATTTTATTTAAAAACCAGAAAAATAAAACCGAGATAAAAAAAGATATAATCTTTTCTTCAGCCCACACGATTATATCCGCAAAACAGAGTGCTTTCTGATATTGTATCAATAAAGCCAAAGCAAAATATATTAATACAATAGTGTGAGGAGCACTAAAATTTTTTTTTTATAAAAATAACAACAAATAAAATAGATCACAAAAAGTAAAAATAACATGTAAAAACAGAAAATAAAATGAAATAAAAAACATTTAAAAGGGACTATAAAGCGAGTAGCAAAATCAGATCAACTTACAAGGACAGAAAATTTTTCAAGAATGATTTACAAATTTTTTCGCAGAAAGATTGCCAGATTACAAAATATGAAAACAAAAGATGAAAACAAAAGCGTAAATTGAGTGTAACAAGAGGGTTTTCTTAGTGCACTGCTGAAGTGATTTGTTATTCTGAGCTTTGATTTGTTAGTTACCAAGGATGGGCCCGAAATGGATGTGCGCAAGGTAATATTATACTGGATAATTTTAAAAATTGATCATAAATAGTTTTAAAAGATAGATGTTTATTTAAGAAAAAATATAAAATGGAAAAGAGAAACATAAATTGCCAGTTTTGCAAATAATTTTGGCCGCGGATTTGCACAATATGGATTAGCACATAGAAAAATTATTTAAATTATCAAAGAAAACAAAATTTTTAATAGATAATTTTAACACGGATTTGCCCGAAATGGATTTGCACATGGAAAAATTAACAAAGAAAAATTTTCAGTACATAATTTAAGCCACGGAATTGCCCGAAATGGATTTGCACATGGAAAAATTTTATAAATTAATAAAAAAAATTTTAGCAAACAATTTTACCCACGGATTTGCCCGAAATGGATTTGAACATGGAAAAACTGTATAGATTAACAAGGGAAATAATTTAGTAAAGGAATTTTTAGTAAATAATTCTAACCACGGATTTGCCCGAAAGGGATTTGCACATGGAGAAATTATACAAATTAACAAAGAAATTATTTAGTAAATAATTTTGGCAATGGATTTACCTGAAATGGATTTGCACATGGGAAAACTATAAAAATTAACAACCAAAAAAAATATTTTATTAAATATATCCACAAAAACATACGATTAATTCAATGATTTTATATAAAATTTTATTATTTTAGTTGGGTATTCATTGTTTTTTATCAAATTTTGAAATAGTTTATCGATTTGTTTTTTGGATAAATAAATATTACTACATATTCTTTTAATTCTGTTCATTTCATTAAAAGTGGTATTTAAATAGATGCTCCTAGAAACATTAGAATTCCAAGTAACTAGTTTATTAATATTAAAATTAAAATCATTTCTTTTATCGTATAAATCAACAAAGCAGATATTTTCAACTTTCATAATACCCAAATCCAAAAAATTGAAATTAATATTATCATCATGATTACGAAGTAAGATTAATTCCTCAGGGTATATATCACTCAATAAAACAGTAAAATCTTGGAAATTAAAGATAATTAAGTCATCAATATATCTAAAAACAAATTTAATACTCAGAGTAAAATTTTTTTCATAATAATGCAAAAATAAGTTAGCTAAGAGAGATGAATAATTAGATCCCTGTGGTATTCCATTAATTTGAAGAAAGATATCCCTTCCATTGTAAAGATAATTACTAAAAAGACAAAAATTAATCAGAATTTCCCAATAATCAAAATCGCAACAAAGGATATTTTTAAAATCATGGTAATAATTCAAAAGGACATCTTTTAGTTTAGAAAGGGGAATGCTATTGAAAAGATCCTGGAAATCAAAAGTCGCAATAGAATTAATTTTATTATGTTTAATGAAATCTAAAATCGGTTGATTATTAGTGATTATCCAAGAGAAACCTTCTTTAGTAATATAGTTAATAATCTTATTTAAGTAGTTAGAGAAAATGGTGCCAGGTTTAGTTAAATAAGTATTAGACCCACATGTGATAGTTCTAAATTTTACTGGAATTTTATGAAATTTAGGACTGATAATTAAGTAAGGAAATTGTATATTGCTAATTTTAATTTTTAATCTCTTGTAAAAAGCTAAAATTTTTTTAATGGCAATATTATTATTGAAATTACTAAGTTCAAAATTTTTACTATTTTTTAATTCCGTATTTAAAAGTTCAGCATAGAATTTTTTACAGAATATAGCGTAATTATTGTTAGCTTTGTCTCTGGGAGTAATTACAAAATTTTTTTGAAGTTGCTTAATTGATTGAACAATATTAGAAAAATTTGTTGAATAGTTATTCTTATTTAAATTATCCTTATTATTGAAAATAAAGTTTTTAAGGAAATAATAAACTCCCCATTTCCATTCTGTTAGCATACCTAAAGGTAAAGAGAATCTATTTGATATCTTTAAACAAAAACTATTGAGATCATTAAGAAAGTATTTTAGAATCTTATTGATAGATGTATGGTAAATGGGTCTAAATTTTGTGCCTTTTATCATTAAATTTTTAAGTTCCAAGTTTTCTATAATATTTAAATTACCAGTAATAATAAGTTTATGATGTTTATCAACAAAATCAAAATATTTATCCTCCTCACAGTGACATTCATAATCGGATATATTAATACTCCCTAAATTTTTGCTTATATCATTATAGTTAAATATGGTTCTACCAAGAGATTTGTTATATTTAAAACTTTTAATAATGTTAAAATCTTTTAATGGAAATAAAGCTTTAAAATTTTCAAAAATGTTGTGAAATTTGATCTTATCGAAAATAGGATTTTGAAAGTTAATAACAAAATATAAATTATCTAAACTTTTCTTTTTATTAGGCAAAATTTTGCTCATTTTGGCTGTTATAAGATCGAAACAAAGAATTTCGAAATGTAAATTAATAAAAGAAAAGTTAATAATTAGATCGTAGAACTTATATACTTCATAATTCTTAAGGGAGAAAACAAAATCTTTAATTGGTTAATGCTATCCATTGAAAAAATTATTTACTAAATAATTTCTTTTTTAATTTGTATAATTTCTCCATTCCGTTCCGGCAAATCCGTGGGTAAAATTGTTTGCTAAAAATTTCTTTATTAATTTATACAATTTTTCCATGTGCAAATCCATTTCGGGCAAATCCGTGTTAAAATTATCTATTAAAAAAAAGTTTTTTTGATAATTTAAATAATTTTTCTATGTGCTAATCCATATTGTGCAAATCCGCGGCTAAAATTATTTGCAAAACTGGCAATTTATGTTTCTCTTTTCCATTTTATATTTTTTCTTAAATAAACATCTATCTTTCAAAACTATTTATGATCAATTTTTAAAATTATCCAGTATAATATTACCTTGCGCACATCCATTTCGGACCCATCCTTGGTAACTAACAAATCAAAGCTCAGAATAACAAATCACTTCAGCAGTGCAGTAAGAACGACACTTTAAAACCCTCTTGTTACACTCAATTTGCGCTTTTGTTTTCATCTTTTGTTTTCATATTTTGTAATCTGGCAATCTTTCTGCGAAAACATTTTTAA